TTTGAGTACCCCATGCATTTTTGATATATTTTTTATATATACATATATATAATATATATAAATATATAAAATATATGAAAAATTGATGTGAGTACTCAAATGAAAGGTCTCGACGAGTGTAACATCGGGATGAGCTTATATCTTTAAAAATGTCAGTAGTTCACAAGATACAAGGTCACTTCTTAAATATTGACCTTTTTAAAGATATAAGCTCATCCCGATGTTACACTCATCAAGAGCTTTCATTTGAGTACCCACATGCATTTTTGATATATTTTTCATATATACATATATATAATATATAAAATATATGAAAAATTGATGTGGGTATTCAAATGAAAGGTCTCGACGAGTGTAACATCGGGATGAGCTTATATCTTTAAAAATGTCAGTAGTTCACAAGATACAAGGTCATTTCTTAATTATGTATCTAGAGACAGAGTATTTTCAAATGCAACCTAAATACTTATCATAATAAATTAACTATCGGTGTGAATAATATGAAACTTTAAAAAAGCACTAATTCAAGTCAAAACCTTTGCAATGACACTAAATTTCACTAAAAAAAAAAACGATTTAATCATATGACTATCCTGGAAAAAAATTTGTTCTTATTTTCTTAATAATATAGATAATCTAAAATAAATTAAAATTTTTAAACACTTATTAAATTAAATTAAACACTTATAAAAGTTCCCAGATTTAGCAAAAATTTTTAAACTTTCTGTAAGATGGCGTTGCGCACCGGATACAGAACTACGTCACTCTCCCGCCAAAATTCAAATTCAAAAAATAATTTATAATTAAAAACTTACCTAGATAATTATTAAAGTCTTGACCTTTCTAATGATACTGAATTTGAATTAAAAAAAAACTCATTTTAAACAATTTTAATTTAATTTAACACCAAAAATTTTGTTTTAATTTTCAGATAAGAAAAAATATCGAAATAGCGAGGCAAGAAATGAAAAATAAGGAAGAGGCTCAAAAAGGAAACAAAAGTAATAAAAGTTGATTTGAGAGGCTGAATAAAAACTGTCTGACTTTTAATAATAATTATTCATTTTATATAAATTTATATTGTACGACTAATGTCGAAATCAACGAGGATAATTTATCCGAAGAATTATTGTGAGATTCAAGAATGTAAAGTTTAATCGAATTGAAGTAATCACTGCTAAAATAATATTTTTAAAATTTACCTAAAGATTATTTTATAATCTTTTTTAAAATATAAATATATTTTATGTAAATATTTAAACTTGTTTTTATTTTATTAATCTGATGATTACACAATTTAATTATATTGTTCTCTCCGAGTTCGATAAGCTTGTATAAAATTATATGCAATTTATTGAGAGCTTTCTCAAAATTGCCACCGGAGCTAGTTTAGCCGGAGCGAACAATTGATTATTTTGTCAAAATTATTATTTAAAAAAATTAACCCAAAAAGTCATAACTAGAAACGTCATCAAACTGTTGGTTCTGCTGATTATTATTATTGATTGGCCTGACGTTCATTTGCCCTCTGGGACCCACCATTTGTTGCTGCATTCCAAGAACTTGCTGGCGGTATTGTTGAGGGTTATGTTGCTAAAAAACAAACTCAGTTTTATAACCTTATATGCAAAAAAAAAAAATTTTTTTTGCTCCAACCAATGTAAAAATGTTGGAAACACTAACATCTATGGAAAAAACAAAAAAAAATTTTTTTTTGTTATAAGCCCTCATGGTTCTATTTTGATAGAATATGTATGAAACGTTGTTCTATCTATTGGAAAGTTTTTTTTATTGGGTCAAGTTGGCCGATTTTTTATAAATCCTCCATTTCCGGAGTTATTGAACAAGGACACTCATAAGAGACCGTGTATTTTTGCGAAACTTTAATTAATTATATCTCTTAAACGATGTGATAGAAAAAATCTGATTTTTTTTCTATAGATGTATTTAATCACAATCTTTCGAATGAATATAAAAAATATAGGATCAAGTTGAAGTTATTTTGGCTCCCAAACTACCTTAATTATAGACAGGTAGAAAAATGAATGCTAATTATCAAGATATTGTTGCGTATGACAGGAACCACTAATGCGCATAGAGGAACTATTGCTGCGCATAGTAGAACCATTACTGCGCATAGTGGAACAATTACTGCGCATCATGGAACTAATATCATAAATGACTGGAACTAGTACTGCGCATTATATAATTACTTCTGCGCATAGTGGAACCACTACTGCGCATCATGGAACAAGTATTGCACATGCGCAGTAAAAAAATGCATTATTACCGTTTGGAACAAACGGTGTGGTAAAAAAATCTGATTTTTTTTTCTATAGATGTATTAAATCATAATCTTTCGAATGAATATAAAAAAATATGGGGTCAAGTTGAAGTCATTTGGAGCTCAAACGACCTTAAGTTAAAAAGCATTAATTTTGTTTCTCAAAAAATTAATTAATATAATGTAAAACGAAAAATTGGACAATCTTAATTGTAAATATGTTAAAAAAAATGAAATTTTAACTTTTGTTAAATTGCACTGTACTTTCTTAACTATTGACGTTTTTAAAGATATAAGCTCATCCTGATGTTATACTCGTCAAGAGCTTTCATTTGAGTACCCACATGCATTTTGATATATTTTTCATATATACATATATACAATATATATATATAAATATATGAAAAATTGATGTGGGTACTCAAATGAAAGGTCTCGATGAGTGTAATTTCAGGGTGAGCTTATATCTTTAAAAATGTCAATAGTTCACATATCTTAATTTAAAATACGTTAAAAAAAATGAAATCCTAACCATGTCTCTTATAGTGTCAATAACTGGTGCTTTTATCTTACAATTTATTTTCCATTAATCCCCTCTTTTGTTATTTTAACAAAATTTTATTTTTGAGTTTATTCTTGAAGATAAAAATGAAGCTAAATTAAACTCACCTGTTGAAGAAGATGTCTTAGCTGTAAATTATTGGCCATCACTGGTCGCATCATCCTCTGAGAATTGGGCTGCTGTACTGCCATTCCAGCATTAGGATTAATGCCTCTCTGTGCTTGCTGAGCCTAAACAAAGTCACCAGTTATTATTTATCAAGAAAATAAATTAATAATTAATTTTTTTCAATCTTTTCTAATCACTTTTCTTCATCAAAAATTATAACATCATTAAAATTAATTAATAAAGCTTTAACTTACCTCAATCTGCTGTTTGTACTGCATTTCTTGCTGCTGCGCCACCTCTAGGTTCTGCTGAATCTGTAAAATAGTTTCAATATTTTATATTCTGATAATTTGTTTTTTGAATTAATTAAATAAAGTCTTTTTAATAATTATTATAATTTTTTATTCTTTGTAAAATTTTATTTCTTCATTTATCAACTTATTTAACCCACAAATCTAACCTATACTATGCCACCCGTTTATTTATTTCTTCACAAGACACCAAAAATCCAGAAATATTTTTTTAACTATCCGTAAGATGGCGTTGCGCACCGGATATACTACTACGTCACTTTCCCGCGAAAATTCAAATTAAAAAAATAATTTCCAACTTAAACTCTACCAAAACAACTAAATTAATTTATTTTTAACCAAATACTTACACTAACTTCCAACTGAGACTTATACTGAGCCTCCTGCTGCTGAGCAGCCTCAAGAGTCTGCTTAAGTTGATGAATCTTCATCAGATTCTGCTGCCTGGCGACTTCAACATGTGTATGTTCATACATTCTCTGATGACCTCCAGCCATATTATTCCCAGAATTATCAACCTGCTGCGGCATGCTACCTTGAATACTCATCTGTCCTTGGTTCTGCTGCTGATTACTGATCCCCTGCTGCTGTGGAGCGACCTGAGTAATCTGCCCACCGCCCATGGTCATAGTATTAGTCTGGCTCATCATGATTCCCCCCTGACTGACAATTCCACCAGCAGAGGGCATCTGGGCAGGAATGTTGCTAGCCGGAGACTGACCACTAGCGCCACCAGCAGGAAACAGCTGGTTCCTAGAAGAAGCTTGGCTGGACTTCTGCTGCTGGATGACCTTCCTAAGCCTGTCAACAAAGGCGCCTTGATCGTTGGGAATGAACCCCAGGTACGCTCGTTTTTCAGTAGTGTACAGAAGAATCAGAACCTTGATGTCACAAGCCGGCATAGATGGTGCTGAAGTAAAATGGACGCAACCTGCGAACCCAGTGCTCATGACCTTTGTTAGCGAGTCCAAAGCATCGCAAGGCGTCGGGTGGAACAGAACACTCCTGGAGTTCTTGAGATAAGCGCCACCTATGCTGCCAATCAGCTGCTTAGGCATCAGCTGCATGATCAGCTTGTGGGGCCAGGAATCAGCCTTAAGTTCAATCTCTTCATCTTTGGCGTTAGCAGATACCTGGTAAGAACCAATAAGTCAATGTTCCATTTCGAATGATTCTTAAAAAATATTTACAAATTTTCAATTGTTCCAAGAACCTATTACTGTTCCTAGAAATCAATATTGTTCTTGGAATCTGATACTGTTCTTGGAACAATATGTTGTTCCAAGAACCTATAACTGTTCCTAGAACTTAATATTGTTCTCGGAACCCTATTAGTTCTTGGAACCTGATACTGTTCTTGGAACAATATGTTGTTCCAAGAACCTATAACTGTTCCTAGAAATTAATATTGTTCTCGGAACCCTATTAGATCTTGGAACCTGATACTGTTCTTGGAACAATATATTGTTCTAAGAACCTATTCCTGTTCCTAGAACTTAATGTTGTTCTTGGAACCTGATACTGTTATTGAAATAATATATTGTTCTAAGAACCTGTTACTATTCTTAGAACTTAATATTGTTCTTGGAATCCTATTCATTCTTAGAACCTAATACTGTTCTTGGAACTTAATTTTGTTCTCGGAACCTTATTCGTTCTTGAACCTAATACTGTTGTCAGAACAATATATTGTTTTAAGAACCTATAACTGTTCCTAGAACTTAATATTGTTCTTGGAACCCTATTCGTTTTTAGAACCTGATACTGTTCCTAGAACTTAATATCGTTCTTGGAACCCTATTCGTTTTTAGAACCTACTACTGTTCCTGGAACTTAATATTGTTCTTGGAAACCTGTTCGTTCTTAGAACCTGATATTGTTATTGGAACCCTGTTCGTTTTTAGAACCTGATACTGTTCTTGGAACATTATTTAGTTCTAAGAACCTATTACTGTTCCTAGAACTTAATATTGTTTCAGGAACCTGTTACTGTTCCTAGAACTTAATATTGTTCTTGGAACCTTATTTGTTCTTAGAACTTGATACTGTTCTTGGAACAAGATATTGTTCTTAGAACCTTTGAAAACTATTTTATCTCCAAAAATCCCATATAAAAAAATTTTCTATTTCAAATTTAATGTATTTCTCACCTGGCACGGAACTTGCCGTGTCTGTTTCTGGGTATCGGTAGGATTCTTAGCCTTCTCAAGCCACTCAAGAACCCCCTGCCAAATTGGAGGTCTCTCACGTTGCGGAACCGGATTAGCGGGCTGCTGTTGCGCGGGAGCGGACTGCGCAGGCGCTTGAGCAGTTCCAGCGGTTCCTTGGGCGTTAACAGCGGTCATAGGCATGTTTTGCATGTTCTGCTGCTGCATCTGTTGCTGTTGCTGCTGGAGCTGGATGTTCCGGAGTTGTTGCTGCTGCTGCGGGGTAAGTTGGGCCTGCTGGGTCTGGGGAGCTTGAGGCGCAGGCGGGGTTCCTTGGAACGGAACATTAATACCGGTTAAGGCCGTAGGCGGCTGCGTTAGCTGAGCAATCAGGGCACTGCCCTGGGTGTTGGACTGCACTGTGGCGCCAGGAGCGATGAAAGGAGTCCGCCATCTTCCCTGAGGGGCTCGCGCTGGGTGGTACGAAGGTGGCGCTGTGATCTGCGGGTTGAAAACGGGACGCCCGGGGTTCATTGGAACTGGCATAGAGGGAGTTCCGATGATTGGTGCAGTGTTCCGGAAGGCGGGGTTTTGCGGAGCTGGAGGGGGAATTGCCGAGTTCTGGTTGGTGTTCGGGCTGTCGTGCGTCTGGACCGGGCTGGAGGGGATCTGGACCGGGTTCGGCGTTGCGTGGACCGGTGCTACGTTTGTTGGAGTCACTGGACGCTCTTTCAGGTTGTAGTTGTGCAGCAGAACCAAGTTCCGCGGGTCCTTTGCGTAGTTCTTTGTTTGGGAACTCTGGAGGTCGCCACCTGCTAATTCAAAGATCTTGAAGAACTCCGGGATTTTTCGCGGGGATACGATTGAGAGGTTGATGTTCCGCTTTTGGAACACTGGTGGGAGGGTCTCGATCGACTGACCGAGGAACTTGTAGCACTCTTGCACGGATATTTGGTATGGTGGCGAGTTGCAGACCAAAATGCAATGCTTTTGGGAGGCTGTGCTGGGTTCGCGTTCCACTTGGAGGTCTTCGAAGCAAATTAAAGCTGTAGCGAGACCTTCGGCTATGTTTGCGTGGGACTCACCGCGGCCCCCAACCATTCTGCAAGAGTAATGTCTAGTAAGTAATCATAGATGGCGTTAGATTAGTGTTAAACCCTTGTAACTTGTGTTAAAGCCTTGTTGCTTTACTTCTTGCTAAACTTTTAATGGGTTAGTCGAATTAAGGAGATTCGAGCAAATCTAATGTGGAAAATAATTTCCAACTTTGAGCTTTGAAATTAAGTACATGTATAAATAAATATACATGTACTTATGGCCTTTAGGGTCAACCGTTTTCCAGATTTATTTTCAGGTCAATCAACTTACTCAAGACTCTCCATCTTCAGCAGCAATTTATGCGGATTTGAGTACGGCCCGAAGGTGTCTGTGCAAGGCCTAGGCAGACAATCCGCCGCGTGGTAGATGACAATCCCATACCGGGTGGTGCTGTTCTCCGTGACGTACTCCCGATCCTCGATGCTGCCCTGGTTAAAGTACTCCAGCGTCGGGATCAAGTAATTAGTTTTGAGGTCGTTAAAGTACGCGCCATTTGCAGCGGTTCCTTCTATCACGAATACCACGTCTGCCTGCATTCCGTGCTCTGTTGTGTTGACGACCATTTTTGAGATTTTTATACTTTACTGAAATAGAAAAAAATTTAATTAATAAAATAAAAAATTTATTTATAAAATAGAATAAATTATAGCAAAAAAATGAGAAAAAAAATTGACATATATAGAAATTTTAAAAAATTAAGAATGCAATTTTTAAAAAATAATTTTTTCCAACAAATTTTTATGATACTAAATTCAACTGATATCTGTCAATTTTTTGAATTTTTATAACTAAATTTATGAAAATTAATTTAGCAGATGTTTGATAATTTTGAGAACTTTTTTAACAAATAAATTATGGCAAAAGAAATAGAAAAAAAAATTGACATGTAGAAATTTTAAAAAATAAAAAATGCAATTTTTTAAAAATAATTTTTGGAAAAAATTTGTTTGTTAAAAAAATAAAAAAAAGATTAGTGACTGCTAACTTTAATGTCATCTAAATTTCTATGAAGAAATTTTAATAAAAAAATTTTATTTCTAGAAATTAAAAAAAATAAAAAAAAGTGCCAATTTTTTAAAAATATTTCTTTTTTATAAAAACCAAACAAATATCATATGTTAATTATACTAAAATTAGTTGACATTACAATTTTTTATTCTTTTCAACAATTAATTTACAAATCCAAAAATCCTTTAAAAAAAATTGCACGTATAATTTTTCAAATTTTCTACTTCAAAATTTTTCTTTTTTAAAAAAAAAATTGTAAAAATTTTAGATGTTGGCTAATTTAATTTTTAGAAATATCAGCTGATTTGAGTATTATCCAATTTATTTGTTAAAAAAAATCCAAAAATAGTCAAGTGACTGCTAACTTAAGTGTCATTCTTTTAATTTCATTATAATATATATTGATACTTACAATTAATTAATTATTTTTCACTATTAATTAGTAATTAGTGATTATTAATCTCAGTTAGTTAAAATATTAATATTATTTAATCTTGACATAGATGAATAAATAATTTTATTCTATTTTTTAAGTCATTTTATTTTCTGCGACTGTTTTTAGAGGTTAGGACTTCTGTTTACGTGTTCACGCACATATAAAAATAACACTAAATATATAACTCCAGGTCTTAATGTTTTTGTAGCAAGTAAATTTTGTAAATTTATATTTTGCACTCATACTATATTATTTTAGGTCCTGTGTACTGTATCCTGTGCATGAATATAGAATATAGAAGGTATTTATATTATATGACAGGACGAAATTTAAGAAATTTATTATTGATCACTATTAAGGCGGACTTACAAACTCAGAATTAAATCGTGTGACAGATTTTCAAAACTATAGTTTTGAAAATAATAATGCGTCATTAAGAGAGAGACACAAGGAGGGCTCATAACGCGACTCGACTGAGTGAGTAAAAGAAGTCAAATCATTGCTTGATTTGATTCAAAATGACTGAAATTTATTGAATCAAGATAGCTAGTTGTATTAGAGCTTATACTATAAACACTAAAAAGCTATTAGCTCATGTTTAAAGTGTAACTTGAGTGTCTAACATCACGTCTCTTCGATTTAATAAAGATTCGAAAAAGTTTCGAATTATTCGAATCTTTCGAATTTCTCGAACTATTCGAATAATTCGAATATTCGTATCGAATCTCGAATCGAATAGTTCGATTCGATTCGCTTCGAGTAATTCGAAATTTCGAATATTCGCACACCCCTACTTTAATTAACATAATAAAACTAAAATATTTTATATTATGCCGATAAATATCACTAAATTAATGATGAAATGCACTCACTCTCCAATTGTACGCTAGTTATTTTTGACCGCTTTATGGCTGGTTGCGTTGTAAACAAACTCAGAATATTTTTTTAAAGCTATAATCACTGCGCAATTAATTGCGTAATTTTTTATTATGATGATTAAATGCCATATTTTTTTATTTTAATACTTTAAGAAAAAAAAACCCTTGTAAAATATTAATTAATTAACTTTTTTATCCATCGGTCAACTAATTGATGACCGGTCAACAACTGGTGCATTTACCCTACAATTGCGAATTTTTAGAAATATTTTTTTTTTATAATAATTGATTTATTATAAAAATTTCAAGAATTTTTAGATGTCTACTAATTTCAGTATTATAAAATAATTTTGTAATTCAATTTTAAATTACCTAATAAAAAAATTAACAATTTTTTAAATTATATCATTCCTATAAAAAACTATCTTAAGTTTTTTTAATATTTAAACAATAATAATAATAACAAAAAAAAAAAATAAATTTTCTTTAGGAACATAAAAAAATTTTTAATTAACTAACTCAAAAAAAAAAATATTTATACTCTATTTCCTTTTTTTTTATGATACTAAAATTAGCCGACGTTCAAAAATTTATGTATTTTTTTCAATAATTGAATTGCCAGTAAAAAAATACTTAAAAAAAAATTGCACGTATAATTTTTAAAATCTAGAATTGAAATTTTTTTGTAATAATTTTTTCAATAAAAAAAAATTATTAAAATTTTCAGATGCCGGCTAATTTAATTTTCATTTTATTTGAAGAATTTAAAAAATTTTTTTAACAAACAAATTTTTATATCATCGGTCAACTAATTGGTGATTCCGGTCTAACAACTGGTGCA